TTTAGCATTTTTCCTGGAAAGATCACAACAAAATCTACTAGTACTCCAATTTTCAGGTTTTTTCACTCATTCTTCTGAGTGTGAAAACTCACTGAATTTGGAGTACTTTTTTAGTTGGCCCAGGCATGGCTGAGTGGCAAAAATGGAAAATGTGCCGAATCGGCGCAATGATTATTTCGCAGTGTAAATGATTTTTTGTAAATGTTCTATTATTATTTATGCAAAGAACACGACCTCATCTATGGATTCTCAAAATTTCAGATTTTTGTGAATGTTCGTCCTAGCACAGAAAATCGCCAAAGTTGCCTCTTGCAAAACGCCTATTTCGTTGTGCCTGACCTCCCTATTTTGAGAAGACGGGGCTCAATGTCTGGGCCTGAGGGCCCTTTTGCAGTTCACATGCCCTCACTTCTTTTTGGGGTTCGCTTCTACCCGGGGACCGGTCCAACGAACTTCTTTTTGGGGTCCACTTTCGCCCGAGGACCGGTCCTTCCTTTTTCCAAAAGTCCCGGTTCTACCAGAGCTAGCTGTAGGTAGTCCACAATTTTGCCAAGGACCGGTCCCTCAATTTTTTTTGCCCCCTAAGAACCCACTTTGCGTCCTGGTCGCCCACCACCAAATATGCGACACCTTGACACAGACGCGGAAGCCCACTATACCGCAGCCTAAGGGCTGCGAATATTAGGGCACAGATCTCACGTACCCTTTTTCTTCACTTCTGACCGCGGATTACCTTAGCACAAACATTAGCTAGCACCGGGGGCTACATCGGCCCTTCAAAAACTGATATCATGACCCTGATCTTACTTACCCCAATGGCAAAGGAATCAGAATGAGGGCAAGTGGGATCTAGGACCTCACCCCCGGTGTGGTCCCACAGTTGAATATCGGACCTGAGACCGCACCCTTGTGGTCCAACAGTTGGATTGTGATGGTCCCACAGTTGGATTATGATGTTGGTTATCACATTGGACAATTGATCTTTCGTCCAGCCTGAGCCATGAAGAGAGAGTTTCGCAACCTTCTTCGACAGACTCATAAGGATTGCACTAAAACCCAAGGTTGATGTTTGGTCATAGGTAGACAAGTTTTTTCAATTATCGTCATATTTAGCACCTTCCATAGTAACTCGTTGTACTCTTGTTCACAGTTTCGTTGTATGTTTCCGTGGCAGTCCGCGAGTGATCCTAAATAGGATAAAAAGATGTGAGTCTGAATAAAGTGTCACCTTAGTGTTAACTGAATGACTGCAAGTATGAAAGTCCGCCAGGGGAGTCCACCTGAATATTAAGTCAATTTGGGAAATCAGTGCCCCATGTCCCGACACATCTACGGGTCAGTCTTAGGCATTATACCGCACGTATACCTATACAACAACTGACAAGAAACGTCATTGGCTGGCTCCCTTTTTGCGCAATATGTAAAAGTCGTCACATGTTAATTAGTAACTCAACAGAGATACACCTACCTAAGGGCAGTAACAACTCATTGGATAGAGGTAAGTTGTACCTCGCGGAGCCCTGTCCTTTCGCAGGAAGCCGTAAGAGGTATAGTAGGCGCAAACTGTCGGAGTGGTATCTTAGTATGCTCCTACGTAACACCGCCGTAAAGGTCCTTCGATCGTTTATGCGTTGAGGGTCGTTGCGCTAAAAAATGCATGACTCGTAGAGTGTTGCACGAAGTAAGTAATATCATCATCATCTTTAGTGAATCTGGTATTTAGTACGTAAAAAGGGTCAGGTTTTCATTTGTGATACTAGTATTACCTCATGAACTCGACCAACTATACCCTTTAGATCCCCCTAACCCACCCGCCCACCCATCTTGAAGGGGATGATCTACGAAAAACATTCAACCCAACAAAACAAGATGACAAGAATAATCCTTTTTGGATTTTTTCCACCTTATAAAAGTACTTCAATATCTTATTATTCCATCATTATTTTTCTATTTTTTTTCTTATACATTTGAAATATATTTCATTCAAACTATTTCACCCTTAGCCTAAAAAAAAACGTAGATCTAAGGGACTAAGAAAATTTCAGTTCCTGAAGTCAGATTATTGTCAAAAGTGGTTGACACAACAATTCTTCCAATTTCGAAGTGACAACCTTGTGTAGCACGGCGAACGTGTTCGCGCGTTCACGCGAACAGCTTGCGAACATGTTCGGGTGAACATAATTTTTTTTCGTAAAAATAAAAAAATAAAAAAATAATCGGTTTTTGATTTTTAACTCATGATCGACTACGAATTTGAACATGACTCTAAGGCAAAAGTTGCTTGTATTGTTATTTTACATAACACATATTTTTTTAAAAAAATTCTGAGAAACTTTTTTTTTTTAAACTTTTTTTATGTTCGCGTTCGGAGAGTTTTGGGCGCTTGTTCGCTTTCGGGCGAACATGTTCGTGTTCGCCTCCGAACGCGAACACGGTGCTATGTAGTGACAACCTTTTCTGACATTAGAAAACTTATTCATGCATTCAAAACAAAAAAAACATAATAAGTCATTTGAAATATTTCATGGTTGTCGCTTTGAGATGATTGTCATAAGTCTTACACTATTTACTAAGAGATCAAAACTTATGATTGTTGGGCCCTACATGATTTACTATAAAGTGCCCAGAACCTGTCTTTTAGCAAGAGGAGGGAATATATTTTTTTGAGGCTATGAGAGTTAATCCCTTAATTTGTTCAACGGTGGGCAGAACCATAATACTTTCATATGACAAATGCACCCTAACAACCATTTCAATGGAAAGCAAACCACCTGCTCTTTACATATTTTTTATTATTATTTTTTTAATAGCATAGTCTCCTCATAATTATTCGTCCAAAGAAAAGGGACAGCGTATTTTTTATTTTTTTTAACTTTTTTCTTCCAAGTATTTCTCTAAGAGAAAGGAGTAACTTACTTGTTAAGAGAAGCGACAGAGAAACATATCATGAAGGTTCTACAGTAACAATAAACCACAAGGCCCCCAATGTTATCTATCTATATCTATATAATTGTTAATTGTGGAGCGGTGTCGGTGTGAATACCCTTACAAGGGTATTCACGTATATTTCCGCATCTCGTATGAGACGCATTTGAAATGGTGTTTGAGATGGTCACTTATATAAGTCGTGCATGGCCCGCGACCGACACTCTGTAACTGAAGTGATGGACGCGGGC